AGGGGGAAGAAGAAGCAGTGCACAGTTTGTGTTCAGAAAGAGCCCTCACTGTCCCCCATCCTGCTCCTGGACTGTGCTGTCTGCAGCACGGACAGACAGCGGGACAGAGCTCTCCTTTGCTTTTAGTTAGTTTTTAGCTCACTGAGGCAGAGAAGTTCCCAGAGAAGTTTGTTTTTTTTCTGGATCTGTTCAAACCTGCTCTGGACTGAAAACCCAGACAAACCCCGGGAGCTCACGCCTGTGGCCCACCAGGGCCTGGACCTCGGCACTTTCCAGCACCAGAGGGACTGATAAGAGACTGAGTGAGCTGAGCTACACCCATGGAAAGGACTTTTCTGGATTTGTCATCTTATAGAACAGCAAGAGGTTTTGTTGTTTATTATTCAATTTCTGTTAAATAGTTTTTTCCATTTTTCTCCAAGGGAATCTTTTATCCTGAACCAGCTGGGGGAGGGGCCACTTGAATTTGTTTTCTGGAGGGACCCCATTCTGAGGTTTTCTCCCAGATTTGCCCTAAACCAGCGGGGGGGGGGGGGGGGGCTGTCCTCATGCCTCCTGGCATAAAGAGACACAGCTTTACTGAAGTCAGTGTGCATCTGTTCATTCTGGTGAAGGATATGATTATCCCATATTTCATTCATTTTATCAGCCAGTGTTAATGTTTTCTGTGTAGTCCTCTAAAGTTTTCAAGAATGAAAGCTCTGGCTGCTGCTCTCAGCACTTTGCCTCTGTGACATATGAATTGTGCCAAATCCATTTTGTGTTTTTGTTTTTAAGCTCTGAGTACAAGGATGAAGTGAAAATAAAGTGTGAATAATGGTCTTTTCCTCAAAGGCAATGTGATCTTGCATTGAGATGAAAAACTTACTTTCATGCAGATCAGCCCTGCTAGTATGAAGGGCTGATGGATGCTGAGCATGATCCAGCTGATATCTGATACAGGGGAAGGGGAGGGCTCTTCAGTGTTGCTGACAAAGCTATAACAAGATCCAGGGACTAGAAGCTGAAGTTAGGTAAATTCAACCTTGCAATAAAATGCCAGTCATGAGCATAAAAAAACATTTTAACAATTTACTGGAGCTCATAATTAAGAACTCTTTAGTATTTTCTTTTAAAATCACTCTTCAATTTCTGGGAGATATCATATGGCCAGCCTGTGAGCTGGAGTATCACTGTGACCCCTTTTGCATTTGAAATAGAAGTACACTGTGTTAACTTCCCTTCTTTCCTGAGCTTGAAGGAGAACACATTTACAAGAAATGCCCTTTACAATTTTCCTAACACTTGCAGATCTTCACAGATGTAACTGTTCTAATTAAATTCTTTAGGACTACATAGCATTGCCCACAGAGACTGGGGGAACTGTGTGACTTTCTCCCCTTCTCCTTTCACCCCATGCTTGTTTGGGTTGGATTTTGAGGACTTCTTTTGTAAGCGATTTTCTTTCTTACCTTATTTTTCTTTACTACAGGAGGTGAGTGGCTCAACCTGTTTCGATGTACCTCAGGAAATAGATTGCCCATGATCATATTTTCCTTTGTCAGTGGTGACACACACCAGGCTCTCCCACATCTCCCACTCAGCAATTCATTCACCTTTGTAGTATCCAGCAATTTGTACTCTTGAGAGCTTGAATGATGTTTTGGTAAAATTGAAGCCTTTGAGCTTCACATAGGGATATCTGGATAGAGTTTAATGATATGGGATATACAAGAAGTCATGTTAGTCACAGGACCTGATTCTTTCCTGATTGAAATTGTTTAAAATATATTAAATTAGAGGTTGTTGAACAAAAGAACACTCTGTACATCTCACAGGATTGGGCCCTCTCCTATTCCATGTCTGAAAAGCAGACAGCCCCCACCTAGTGAATGCTCAGATTTAAGAATATCTCCTTGAAAAATGTGCTCATCTGCAGCTGAGAAATACCTGTCTGAACATTGCCACAGGAAATGAAGTATTTCTGTTATAGTGTGTATTGAGGAAACTCAAAAACAACATGGGTTTATGAAATCATTATATTCAAGAAGCAGCTCTCTCTTCTGCATTTTGAGCCCTGGTAGGATCACATTCTGTTTTGACAGCTGTCAGAAGTTAAATGAAAGATACTTGGGGAAAGAAGGGTTGAGAATCGTTACTTGAAACACTTGCCAACAGTTGAAGTATTCTTTTGGTAACATACATGCTGTCTCTTTTTCTTTCTCTTTTCTTCTCCTTTGCTCAACTTTGGTGCCTTTTATTTCTGTAACTCTTGTGACAGAGGCTGGTGTCATCCAACCTGTGCTACTTTAAGTAGAAAATTACTTTTTGATACTGTGTGTGTGCAGTGCGCTGCCCTAGCTTTATTCTACCTCTCATTCAGCGATTGCCAGCTTCCAAACTTTTGCTAGTGCCACTGTCCTCCTTTCATCTCCCAAATTTAAGCTACAGTTTTGCTGTGAGGGAAAGGAAGTTATGCTACCTTTTTCCTTCTTATTTTTTCTCTTCCTAGCTGACACCATTTATTTTCACAAATAACTGCAGTAGTTTGGGGTTTTAGGTGACACTCTGACAAAGGTCCTTCATGTAGCTGTTTATTAAATGTTTACACTTGGTGTTTATATTATGAGGAGAACATTCTTAGGTGTTGGAGCACAAGGGGCTTATACTTTTGCTTTCTGTTTTGGATTCACACTTGCAGGCCCTAGCAATAAATGTTATTTTCACTTTAAATTACTGTAACTTTAACTCAGGAGTACCCAAAACTTTTGTTTCTATATAGTTAACCCTTTTTATTGTTTTGTAATTGCACATAAACATGGTCTCCCAAAGTTAGGTAAACTTAGGAAGCTTGCAGAGGCTTAGCCCATGAAAACAGCTATTCCTCTTCTGTATCACACGGTGGCAGAAAGTGCCCAGCATATGCTCTGCAGTTTCAGTTTGGTGAGTCCTATCAGATAATTTCAGTATGTAGCACTTTATAAAGAATTTAGTATTTTGGAAAATTAAGTTTGTTTAATCATCTAAGGAAGAGCTTATTTTACAGCAAAGTAATATATGTTCATCCACAACCTGCAGGATGTGTATTATGGGTGTGGGTAGGATTCACTGAGGTATTACATCATGCAGTAGAAAAGATAATTATATAGCTGGAATATATGTAGGCATTTAGTTTTAATTAGGCTTTTGATTAAATATAAAATTGTAATTAAGAGTGACAGATACAGTAGATCCTGGTAAACTCCATGACAATTTTTTGGCTAGAAAAACTCCTGAACTGATGGGTTTAAACCAAGGCTTTGTGCACTGCTTATGAAAATAAGACCATTAACTAATCATGGGTATGAAGCTAATTATAGAGTCCTCCCTTAAACTACTTTACCAAGGTATTTGTCTGGTATCTTAACTAAGCCAGTCAGATAATCGTTACACACAGTAATTGCATAAAGAAAACGAGCAAAGAACCCTTCGGTTACTGCCAGGGTATTGTGACTATGGTTTGTTGGAGTTCTGTGTAGTTTTGCATCATTTCACAGCAGGTCTCTGAAGCTTTCCAGTGTCACCCCAAAGTTGTGAGCTGAACACAGTGGCTACCCAGCTCTGCATGAGTCTGCAGGACCTTGGACAAATATCTTTACCTTTCCATCTACCATGACTGCTGGAAATGTGACTGTCCTGAGCAGGACTGTGCCTGTGATACCAGTTTTGCACTGCTCATGGGTGTTGGGGTCCTGTCAACATTTGAGGGACAAATTTCCAAGACACAAAGAGTGCGCAACATGTGTGTTGCTGCACTTAATATTTGCTGCGGGGACAAAAGGAGTTCCTTCTTCACACGATAGGGGATGATGGCCAGCCTTGAGAGATGGTTTTCTGCACACCAGTAAATCCCTGTGTTTTCATTCAATTGCTTACTTAGGCTCAAGACTGAAGTCAGCACCATTTGAAGGGCTCCTGTAGACTCCAGCATGGTGACACAGGCAGATGTTTCCCATGTCTGTCTGTTAGAACTTGTCAGTTTGTTTCACAGTATGGAAGGTGTGAGAAGTAGCAGGACTAAATAAGCACAGAGGGAACTGACTGTTTCATCTGACTGTGTTAATGAATAAGCTGGGAGTGAAGTTAACTCCATGTGAAGCAGTTTAAATTATTTATTTTCAATCCTGGGACTGTACTTAACATGTTAAGGCAGAGCCATGTTGACAGGGTGGCATTAATTACACCACTGGAAACCTACCACATTAGCTGAAAACAATTGATTGCAGCTATCATTCATGGTTCTGGGTATAGCCCCAGTTGTTGCAAAGCTGGGCAAAATGTCCTCTTCCATTCATGGAAGTTCTTCCTGCATCCACCCACAGCTGCAAATTAGCTCTTCAATTACTACAACAAAATATGATGTTTGGTGGTTGTAGGTTTCTTGTAGCCATCTCTTTATTTAATTTATTTTTTTGTGAGCCATGTGACTGTGTGACTGATCTTTCCATTTGGCATGGCATATCTTAAGTATTTGAGGATGTTCGTTGACAATATATATAAAGTATAAAAGCATATACTTTACTGTAATGTATGTAAATGTACTGTAAATGCTTTCTCACAATTCCCTTAATGATTCAGCACCCTCTCCTTAATTCATAGCAAGACAAAAGTGTTGTCTCTTTGAGAATAGGAAATTTTTGCACCTGGGTTTTCCATTCTTTGCAAAAGCTTTGGCTTCCACATCTCTACTGAGAACTGGAAATGGCTTGACTTTGCATGTGTATGGATGTGCACTAATCAAAATAAGGATTTTACTTTCTTCTCACTCATTGTTTAGCACTGCTGTGAGTTAAGAACTTCAGAATTACTCCATTGAGAAGTGCTGGGAATATATCTACAAGTACGTGAATTTGCAGTTGCTACATGCTGATTTTCTAGATGATCCTGGGTCCATGGTTAATGCAATTAGAGATTCTACTGGGAGAGCACACGTGTGCAGTGTTTGTTCATATGTCCAATAACACCTGACTCTCTGTTTGTAGGTTAGGCCAAAGACCCTGATTCCGGACAGCCTCCCAATCTCCCCGTGCAGAGACCAACCTTCCAAGCAGCCTCCCACCTTCCAGAAGGCAACCATAGTGAGCATCAAAAACCCTAGCCCTGCCCTTCCAACTGCCAACAACACCGTCAGCCATGTACAGACACACAACAGCCAGTCACAATGTGTCCCCGAGCCTACAGCTCTCTCATCCCCACTGAGTGGTGCCGCTGGTGTGGCCTACGCCATCATTTCCACCTCCCCCAGCAATGCAGCTCCGCTCAGCACCAGCGCCACAGTCTCAGTGGTCAACGACAGCATTAAAGTGCAACCGCTTCTCATCAGTGCCGACAGCAAGGTGAGTTCCTTGGGTAGCACACGCAGGAACGGTGCTGCAGGTATGAGCAGAATATTGCCCTGGGAGTGCACAGCCTGTGTGTCACAGTGCAGGTGGTTTGTAGCTGCCAGATAGATTTTGGCCATGTGCTTTGGATGTGGGCCACCCAACATGGCGGACGCCACATGGTGTGAGTCACTCACCCAAGATGGCGGCTGCCACATAGCTGCCCACTCAAAATGGCAAAACACAAGTGGCAGCCCATGGGGGAAGAGATGCTGCGCTGATCACATGGAAGCAGCAGCCAAAATTACCCCCTCATTGGCATCTGGGAGTCCCTCCAGTGTGCCCACCTGATCCTAGAAGTGCCATTGCGGAACTGCGTGCACCAAAACCTGGAAGCACGGAACACCGTATCATAACAAAGCCAGGGCTTGGAAAGCCTGAAAGATGCTGTGGCAGCCAGTGCCTGAAGAGCTGGGGAGCCCTAATGGCTGCAATCAGCCACAGGGACCTGCGGAGCAGAGCCATCCCACGCAATGGAGCCTCAGCTGGAGCTGTCTTGCAGCAAGTGGCTGGGGCTGGGGCAGCCTTCCTGACAGTGTCCCCCTCTCGGCCTGTGAAAGTGGAGCAGCAGCAGCAGAGACAGCAGGAGAGGGGATGCACGGAGCTGCGAGGGCGCGGTACCCAGCACATAGTGCCATCAGGGGCAGCACTGGCACAAGCAGTGCTGTGCTCCCTGCCCCTCTACATGTGGCAGGCCTTACCTGGTAAGGCGTGGCCACCATCTTGTGGTCTGTGAAAGCCCAACTAGTTGCCCCGGCTCTACCCCTAACCCCTGCTGCATCCACCACTCCCACTGCAGCCAAGGTCCCATTCCTGCTTCCTGAGACTGTTTGGGGGAGCATAGGGAGAGCAATGGCGCAGCCAAGTGGGCACAGCCATACTGAGATGCCGAGATTTGGGAGTGACGGGCAGGGCGGTCCCGACCCCCGCAGCCTGCTGCAGCCCACCATAACACACCATGCTGGGCAAGGGCCCCCAAGCAGCCCCCACACCCCACACCAGGACTGGGGTGGGGGGCATGGGCAGGGTGGCCTCGGGTGAAAAGAATAGGCAAGGAGACCAGCCCTTTTTAATGCCTTTATTGAGGTCAGCTCTAGGTGGGGGGCTCGAGTGGCTGGAGACACCACCACTGCTCCCAGTGAACAACCCAGAGGAGGAGGTGTTCAGCTTTGCTGCATGTCAGAGCTGGGGCTTCCATCCTCACGAGAGTCTCTAGGAAGACACTGTCTCGTTGTAAATCTAGGGTAGTCATGGATAGCAAGTGCTGTTTTGTCGCTCTATTGGGAACAGTTAGAAGAACGACAGACTCTCTCGTGGAGTCGAACTGGAGAATTTCTCTGTTTATTACCTTTATTACCTCAGGTCTTTTTTATAGACTGATACATGAAAAGTACAGAAAAGAAAACTCTTATTGGTTAGTAAACTAACACATCACCATCATTGGTCAGTGGGGTTCACCACCCCTCGACTTTCTCTTGCAAGAAAACAAGGAACAGACAGCACCTGCAAGGCTGTTCTCTATCTCTGAGGATTGTTTTAATTCCTCCTTATGATTCCCAGGCCACTTTCCCAGGCAAGACTGAGAAAGCTATGTGGTCTGCAATTTCCACAGGCACCATGCTCCCTGCTTCACAGTTAGCATCCATACTGTTTAGTTACGGCGATGAGGTTCAGAACATCAATCAGTTGCACAACATTCTCCCTTACTCCTCGACGTAGTTTGGAGTCTGGTTTGTGCCATGGCTCGCTGATTCTAGGGGCCATTAAATGTTAATCCCACTTCCCCTGGGTGCTACCCCCCCATGGGAGTTCAGCTCATCTACACACTGGGCGGTTTCATCGGTTGCCATTGGAGGGTGCCGGGAGCAGCAGAGGCAATATAGAAAGGCAGGTGGCATTAACGAGGCTGTCACAACAACATTGGTATTTAACATGACACAACATGTTTTAACAAAGAAGGTACCTTATAGTGACAGCACTCTACTGTTCAAACTGTAAACATCTTTGTGTACTGATCAGGAGGTCACATACTACTCTTTACATCAGGGAGTGGTGGGTGCCCTCCCAGCCACCACAGCCTGCCACGGCCTACTCACCTGTGGCAATAAAAATGCTCATCATATACAGAGCAAGCCCAGGAAAACTACCCACAAACTGAGGCACATTAAAAAAGCTCCTTTGTTAAAGTTTTCAAACATTGAACACGTCAGAATTGATCATAAAAACAAGTACTGATTCTAATATTGGATTCTATGTGCCTTCAACACCTTTAGTCTTCATGCTATGATTAAAAACACTAGATCTTTTTCTTTTCAAATGTACATTGAAGTTTCAATATAATACTGTAGAACATTTAAGGATTTTAGTTAAGTTTAATAATTTTCTTCTGTATAAAACTCACAATAATTTTCCAGGCTGTTTTTACCCTCCAAAGAAAAAGAAGCATCAACGTATTTACTTTCCTCTTCCAAAAAGCCTACAATTTCAGTTATGGGATTTCAAAATCCAAATAAAGTTTTGTTATCAGTCATCTAAAACTGTGCAAATATTTTATTCAAAGATGACAACTATTGACTATTTTTGGTTTATCTAACAATTAACAAATCTATAGCAAATCAGTCAGATTTATAATGTAAAGCTCTAAAGTTTAAAAGGTTATTGAGTCAACACCAAAAGGAAATCTATTAAATACTCATACTGATACATACTGATATTAATATAATATTAATGGTAATATTTACCACCAAGGTAATATTTCATCACCTTATGGTGTTAATGCTTACAATTGTAGATACAGATTATAAAACCTAATATTTGACTGAACACATTTAGTAATAATTCTAGATAATGGCAACATAGCCATAAGTATATTTGTAACATTTTATAATTCAAAGACATTGCTTGTTTTAAAGGTCCTAAAAAGAGCATTCTAAGTTCATAAAAGCAAACACTGAGGTACTAAATCAGTGTAAAAGAAAAATGTTTCATTAGCAAAATTCAGTTACAGTTTTCTAACCAAGTATTTTCCACCTGTCACTTTGTTTACAATGTCTACTAAAGCATTTTCATGCTGAAAACCACTAACAACTACCTTTCATATTTCACTCATGCCAACTGTTGAAGTCAATAGCAGGTTTCTGAATATAGTGGGTCTGTCACTGTTATCAGCAAAATACTAATTTACATGTTTTCTTATTTTTGAACCAAAATATAAACATAGCTTTTAATGTTCAGTTTTTGCAACTGAGTATACAGATACAATAATCACAAAATTATAGTTGAATTTACAGAAAACTTGAAAACTATACATAAGAAAGTAATAACAGAAACTTCTAAATTAACAAAAATAGTTTGTCCTACAGCTTTGAGGTCATGTCTTTATACCTTTCTTAAAGAAAACATATTAATTGAAGACACATAATCATCCCAAAAAACATGTTTAAATTAATTAGAATTGTTGATTAGCCCATGTATACTGTAAATTAGCATCTTCCTCTTTTATTTTCTCTAACTCAATTTCAAAACTCTTAACAAAAGAAAAAGGTTCATTATTCACACTACTGCCATTAAGCAATGTTGTTAAGTATACTAATAATAGTACAATAACTGTGTAAATGAGTAACTTAATTCCTTCCAAACTCAAGAAACAATTTCATAGGTGTCCTTAGATAATAATATGATCCAATTTTATTATCTATGTTCTGTAATGCTACAAACTATACTTATAGAGACAAACAACACAACTAATTTTACACTATGTTTTTAGTATTGTGATTTTACAAAGTGATTCTACAAATACAGCTAAATGATGTTATTAACATTGTATCTACCCATCAAATAATAAGCTAAAATCGCAACCAAGCAAAGAAGCCTTCACAAGAGAAATCCAAAAACTCCAAATATACACCTTAAACCATCTATGGGACCCTTAGAATGACAAGTTACTTATGACTTTATTCAAAAAACCTCAAAAATCAAATATTTTAAGGACATTACTAACACAAGGACGTATCACTTCTAGACATATAGTACAATATGACCTGTAAAACCTAACTAAGATAAAGAGATGTTTCCTTTGATGGTTTTGAATTGGTTTGTTTGTAACAAATATTACTTTCAAAAGAATTGTTTATATATGTGCATAGTTACAGTTATTTACAAGTTATATCATTAGTTATTTACCTAAGGACAGATAACAAAGCCAGCTGTTCTATGACTCCTTAATGAAAGACTTCCTTTAAAGATATGATAGGTAAGTCTTCCCAGTCTGGGTCTTGGTTCTGGCCAAACTATGACCTTGATTGGGAAGGGAAAAATATGCTATCAGACCCAGGTGTTTCTGTGCTAAAGATGAAAGTCAGTCACTTTCAGTGTGTCAGTCAGTGACTAGCTGATTTGGATTTGCAGAAGCTGAACCGCTTTCCTTTGAGATAAATGAGGAGGTCTCATTGTGAAAAGGTGCCTCAGCAGTGGCAGACACTGGCTGATGGTAAAGCATATAGGCAGTTGTAAGTTTCACCTTGTTAATTTCATTCAAAAGTGCATATTTTATTCCCATTATAGTTGTTAAAACAAAGAAAGGGGTAAAAATGCAGGATGGATGTTTGCCCTGCCTCAAAAGTCTTGGGTGCTCTCATGTTCTCATGTTTTTCTCCTGTCTTTCAATCAATTCACAACATAACCTAGCCAGCCAACAACTTTTCAGAAGCAGAAGATTGTCAGTGGTAAGACAATCTGCCCATCACCCTACTTGAACTCCAAGACTCATATTTTTGGAAGACATCAGTGATAGAAATGTGTATGTTTTTAATTGAAATGGTTTTGAATTGAATTGTTTATTGTTTGTAGTTTTTATTTTTAAGTTGTAAAATTGTAACTTCTGAGTAATGAGCCTGTGGCATGCCATCTTAAAAACTTATATTTCTAGTTTAACAGCTTTAGCAGCTCCTGAATGTGACTATTACAACTCCAATGATACAGGAGATACATCACTGGTTGAGGGAAGCAAGGCTTGTTGAGTTGAGTGGAAAGTCTCATTCAAACTAGATTTATTATCTGTGTCATCATGTTGTCTCTGCCATCCTATCTGCAAGGTGCCTACAGAGGAGGACAAAGAACACTGCTTTTTTAAGAAAACAAATGGGGAAATGTCAGAGTGAAGGTGGTTTGTAGCTGCCAGATAAATTTGGCCACATCAGACCCCCAAAACTGACTATCACAGAAATAAAACAAGTCCCCAGACAAGGCAAGGATAGGTTAGATTCAAACCTACACAGGGGACCCTCAGCCAGTCGCAGCTGATCCTAAATGCAAACATATCACTGGCCAGAGATCTGGGCAGTGCAGAGATCCCAACCAATCAGCTATCCAAGCCTGGGAAATTCAAACCCACTTCAAAAGGAGGGGTTGCACAACAAACTGATGATGTTTGTCTTATGATCATCGGACTCAAGTTGTGATTCTGTCTCCAACCTATGACTACACGTAACACCTGTAGAGTGTTGTCAGTGGTTCTTCTCAAAGAAAATAATCAGAAAGCAATAGGAAAATTCTTACAGGAACACGTAAAGTCTAGTAGACTTTTATCTGTGTACAAGCCCATTTTTTTACTGGGAGCAAAACACATCATTATGTAGACTGACATTAGCAGGACCATATGAACTTCTCTTTCCTTAAGTGAATCCTCACTCATAAAATCCCCAAATTATGTACAGGCTCAAATTTCCTATGGACTCCCTCTTTAACGATACAGTGATACTAGATTTGTCCACTGATCCCAAGGAGTACATAAAATAATCAGAGATTCCCTTCTGCTCTTCCAGGAGAAGACCAAATGTAATGAGAACTCGGGGTTTCAGAACTGACCAGGAGATGAATCAGTAAAAAGAAAAAAATCAAGCTATGAATTACTTGTTTCATCTTTGTACTGCTTTTCAGCATTGGAATGCAAGAAACTTCGCCATTCTTATACCAGAGACAGATTCCATACAGGCTGCAAATATACCCAGCAGACATTCACTGTAATTTACTACTGGGATTCTGCTACTTTTGATCTTGCTGGCAGCACAGGTTCTCATACAGTGCTAGAAAAATATATAGGATGTAGGATGGCTTTTGAGGTAAATAAAAGCAGATATCTCTTCCCCATTTCTTTGACATAAGTTATTTTTCTCTTACTTAAAATGGCTGCTGGCTCAGAAAACCATCTCTTTTTATGCTCTTGAATCTTCTAGAATGATTGAGTTAACATATCTAACACTTAAATGACATTGATTGAAAATTAGCAATGAAGTAGATAGAAAAGGCCTGTTAAAATCTGATAATCTTTTATCTAGAAGGCAATAGTCCTTGGAAAGTCCTTTTTGAAGCTTTCACAGTCCTTTTGATTATAGGTATGAAGTCATATGTGTAGTTCTGTGGGCAGAAATTCCTTTTAATTTAATAGCTTCTAGATAATGTGATCTACATTGTGTAAATCTTCATGAGTAGCTGGATATTCTACCATAAATGTGTGAATGAGATCTGTGTCCTAATTCCTATAGGTTCTAAACAAGACCTGATTTTAATTTAAAACACATATAGTTTATTTAGTTTATGGAAAAGTGGACATCCACTGCTTATAACATTAAAGGCTGAGGACTGAAGTCTGATCTCAGTTGCATGAGGAGTACCTTCTTTCCCATCCCCATGTACTTACTCTGAAGTAACAGAGGTATAACTGAGATCAAACTGTGTTTGAAAGTTTAGTAATCCTATCTCTTCTACTTGTACACAAAATAAAATCAAAGGAAAGACCTTAAAATCCCTAACACCACAAGTGCTAAGACATGGCTTCTCAGCCACCTTCACAAGTCCTCTAAGTAGAAAGTATCTTAATTTTCAGAGGCACTGATCAAGTGACTTAGGCTGCAGCAGGTTTATAATGCAACACTAAGAATTAATTTTTATAAACCTTAGGACCTTAACCTAGGTATCCTGTTGTTTTATGCTTTTGACTTGTGACTTATATTTCTTATTTGTAGGCTATCGAGTAACCCTTCAAGGAGGACTCAAAGGTTTCAGGCAGAAAAATCCAGTTTCATATAGTGAATTCTCTTATTTGTACATTGTCTTTTAGGTTATCATTATTCAACCTCAAGTCCAAACCCAGACAGAAAGTAAAGTGGAGACAAAGAAACCTCCTGAAGAGTCAGCTCAGGGACTGCCTGCTACCAAAAAGAAAAAAGAGGAAAATCCAGAGGTGATTTCTTTTATTTTTTATTTTTAATAAATGAGCTACAATATGGTTATGATATGGGGACAAATCTAAACATTCTTCTGTGTGCATATGCGATTACTTTATTTGTGCTTATGGTTCTGCCAGCTGTTCATCTCTCAATCTCTGCAATCAGGGTATTTTCCCTGCCAGCAAGTGCCCTGACAAATTTGGTTTGCACCATTCAAACTTTCCACTGTCACAAAATGTAAGACTTGGAAGTCTCATAATCTAGGCACCCCATGGCTGCAGCTGAATTTCCTGTGAAAGGTGTATACAAGCTTAAGATATTTCCTTTTATGTTATTAAACATTAAACATACAGTATCAGATTTAGAGGCTGTATATGAGGTGGAATTAGCATTTGTTCTGTAAACTGAGCTTTTAACATCTTTATAATGAATCTTGCAATTTTTAGATGGTAGTAATAGTTTCCTGCATTTGTTGTGTACGTCTTCCCACATGTACACAGATTCTAGTCTGAAATACATTAAAATTTTTTAAATTGAGTAAGAGAGTCAGGTAATGAAACTAAATATCTTTCATGAATTCTACTTTTGATTTAAACTAGAAATATAGATTGCAAGTCCTTGTAGAAATGGGGGTCTCCCTAACAGTCATTTAGGGTTTTGACTGGATATGTTCACATTAGATTGGGTGCAATTTAGGGCAGTTTGAGAAGTTATACAAACTGAATCTACTTCTTTTGTGGGAATGCTCACCTCCTGTGAAATTTTAAACCTCACTAGTCTAATAAATGTGTAGCACAAAAGCATCCTTGGAGCTGTAGGTTTAAGAGGATTATTACAGTATAAATCTGTATTACTTGAGGCATGTGGGTGGTCATTTGTTTTACCATTTTATGAGATTCATATAAGTAAAACATTGTTAAGGTTAAATATTTTAGCCCAAAATATCATTGCTCTATGTAGAAGCTCTGCAAAACTATGCTTGGGAAACCTCCCAGGTTTAAAATCTGACCCTTATATGAATCTTCATTACCAGTGGATGACAGGACTGCAGAGTCCTGTTTTGTTTAGGCAGGTATTTCCAAAAACTTATTTATTTTGTCGCACCTTATGGGCAGAAGGGCCAGTAGATCCTGGTTAGAAACAGAATGCTAGGTAAAGACGTGCCTGTAACTTATCCCCATGGAATAAATATTGAATAAAGACCTTCCAGAGAGATGCAGGAGGAGGCAATTAGACTGGCCACACTTTTGGTAAGGAATTCAAAAATGTAAGATTTCCATTACATTGCTAACTAGAATATCTCAATGACCTTTTTCTAACTGCAGACACTGTTCCTACTCCGTTTACTGGAGGTCTCAAGAACCTTAATTTTCAGGGTAGGGTGCTGACTTTGTGCCCTTAAGTATGACAGTTCTCATAGATTTGTTGCATAGCCATAAATTGGTAGGTCTAGAGTTAATTTCTTTTGTTCTTTGAAAGTAAACTTTAGTTGATTACCATGTATTTATGCAATTAGTGTAATTAGAACTAACATCATAATTAGTATAAATACATGTAATGACATAAATAGAACATGTTATTACAAAACTAAATGCTTTTATGAAAATCTTTGTTTTGCTTCACAAGGAGACATACTGTGTATTTTTATAAGCACTCACAGCTTATAAACAGATGATTAAATTTAAAGCAGAACCAACATTTTTAAAAAGTTGTTTTTAAAAAGAAAATAGGCATTCAAGGAACTTCACAATTTTATTTCTCTTCAAAGCACAGAACTGAGGTAGGAACTCCAATATGGCTTGTGTAGAACTTCGTTGGGAGAGACTGGGATTTAATAAATTACACAGACAATTTGAAGCAAGCTAACTAGAAAAAAAAAGGTTTACCAGTATCCAGGAATCCCACATGCAGTTATTGGGTGTACCTGAACAAACAGAGAAGAGTGAGGATCATTGCTGTCTTTAGCTACTTGCTTGGTCATTCTGCTGGTAAGCCCTGAAGCTGATCATGGACTGAGGAGGAGGAGGAGGAGGCCACCCACTCCTTCCCATCAGCGCAGCTTAGCTGGGGATGGAGAACAATGATGATGGATCCAGTGATAGGCCTTCTCCCACCAGGATGACTTCTCTAAAGAAATGGAGGAATTACAAAAGGGAGATGCTCCTCTGGGAAGAAAATGCCCTGGATGTCTGGATGTTGTTTTTTTTGGTTTTTTTGTTCACTTGGTTTGGGGGGTGTGGGGAGGAGGATGTAGGGATAGGGGGGGCTTGTTAATTTTTTCTTTTTTTGTTGAAGAAACCTGAGTTCAACACAGAAAGAAACAGAATTCTGCCAAAAACATTTTGATCATTTAAAAATTCATATTAGCAAACTATCTGGCAACATTTTCATTCTAAAATGTCTTTGTCTGAAAGAAAAATTATTGCCATAAATGTTGGTCATTTAGTTACTGGTGTTCTAATCCTTCCTAAGTACAAGAGAGACGCATGGCAAATGTGAACTAAATGCTAACATTAAGCCTAGATTGAAAATCTGCAAAAAATTAAGTCTTGGTTTTGCATCTTCCTGTACAGAGGAGAAACAATAAACCCTGTGATATTTGAAAGTTTTGCAGTGGAAGTCAGATTTTGAGTTGAATTCAATGAGCTACAGGTGTGTGAAATAGCAAAACCCATAAAAACAAATGGGCTGTTAATATAATATGCATGTTCAAAAGAATACAGCTTGTACTGGGATTTTTTAAAAGGAAACATCTTTCAAGTCCCTATAAAAGCTAACACTTCCTGTATTTAATCATGAGATAATTATCAAGTCACTTGTGATAGCTCTTCATATTTTAAGCAAGTATGTTGTCATTACCTTTAGTTAGATACGTATTCAAACAATTTCAGTATGAAGAGAGGAAATTGTTTAGCAAACATTCCAGTACACAAATATTTTCAGTTTAATGTTGGAGTAATGCAGGAATTCTGCACTCCATTGAGAAAACGCACATTAACCCTGATTCTATCCCTAAATATTGTTATTACTTTTGCTCACAGTGCTGAGAAATATCCTGCCAGCGTTACTTTTTGATGGGGCTGAGACGGATCTTGTAATCCTTTTCAGTTGACTAAATTTCTTCTCAGATCTTCACAGTGGATCAAATATTCATCTTTTCCTTCAGGTGTGGGGCCCCCATTGTGCCTGGCTGGTGTTTCAGGCATATAAGGAGTGAGCGTTACTGAAATCAAGGTCTGACATGCAAGTGAACATGTGTGTGTAATTACCACAGATATGAAAGGCAGAAATACAGTGTAAATATATCTAAATTGCCAGTGAGGAAATTCTACACCACCATTTTTTATTCTACCTGGAGAGTTAGGAATCTCGCGAGGTAGTGGAAAGGAAGTATTCCCACCTTTACATGGGTGTTAGTTCACCTGTTTGACAAAGGTATTTTCACAGATGCAAAAGTGGTAGAACAGTCCAGTCCTGACCCTCTGATTTTGATGAACCCACCCAATAGTTGCATCTTTTCATCTACAAAATGAGGATGTATATGCTTTCACAATTTCAATAAGTGAAAGTCAGAATTGCAAGGAAAATTGTAGTTCTGGTGACTTACTGGTTGATTTTATCCTGAACAGAAATGGAATATTGAATCGTCAGGCTTTTTACAGAAAAGGAAGGTGAGACTAATTTTAATTTGAAGTATTGAAACATATTCCCCTGACACTCTTTGAATGAAACAGAATGTTTCGACCTTCTACTGCTTAAGCACTGTGTTTTAGTTGGACCTGAAGCTAAACATTTTATTTGAGGTATGATAATTGCATTTTTGGTCATCGTACACTTCCTCAGACTTGGATTGTGGGTTTTGTTTGCTTGGATTTCCCAAGAGCTTGAATGTTATAGTCAGATTGTCTCTCCCATGGAATTGAACCTCATGAAAATGCCCCTTGGGTAACCTGATGCAACAAGATTGTTCAGCTGAGCAGAAAGAGGAGGCCCCCAAAGCTCCACAAGTACCACAAATGTGACTGAAAACCAAGGAATTCAGTTCAGCTTGGGCTTGGAACAACACAGCATAATTTCAGTTTTCATCAAAAACATGCAAAATGACTTCAGCAAAACCTTTCTGCAATGAAAAATTTTCCAGTGAGAAATCACTGAGAGAAAATTTAGAATCTGCTCTAATACTTGTCCAATCACTGCATCAGCATGTCCTGAAGATTTTTTACCATGAAGGTGTGTTTTACTCATATATATAGTTTAGAAGAGTTGTGAATAATATTTTAGATCAGATTCCTCACTGCAAAATGAGCTCACCAGTGTCAGTGGGAGATGTTTGTTCACTCCCCATTGAGGAAGAATGTTGGATCAGTATACATCTTCACAATCCATGCACATAATGTTATTTTTATACCATGGGAAGAGAAATGTCTGATTTTTTTTTCTTTTTTTTCTTCTTTTTTTTTTTTTAATGGGAGGGAACTTTCAAAATGCTTCTGATGTCTTGCATAGTGTTGTACTGTTCAAACCTGTTTCACTTCATATACCTTGCTCATATCCAATAAAAGCAGTGCCATGTCCGGATTGTAAAAATAATATGAAATTATTTCACTAAAGAATGAAGTAACAATCCAGCTAGCAATGTGAAATTGAACTGATTGAATTGACTGAATATTGGTAATGTGCTGTGTAAGATCAGTAGGTATTTAGCATTGACTTCAGACATCTTTTAATTGCTAGAGTTTATATAGTCATACAAGGAGAACCAGGCATATCTCAAGTAAGTCTTCAGTTAAAGTTCTTTACATTACTATGCATTCAAATAAGATACATTTCTAAAAGACTTTTTCTGGGTTTATTCTCTCAGTGCTAATTTTATTTATTTTCTTACCATGATTGTTGTAGTAGAAAATCTAACCAATTTATTTTTTTCCTTAGAAAATTGCCTTCATGGTAGCACTAGGACTGGTTACAACAGAACATTTGGAAGGTAAGATGGCATATATTGATTTACAGTTCAGTTTTTGAGTGAAATATTTCCTGTTGGTTTTTCTGCCAGAGCATGTTACTGAGGATTGTGTTCAGATGGCTTTTGAGTCTCTCCAGAGAAGGAGATTCCTCAGCCTCTCTGGCCAGTCTATTCAGTGTCCTGTTACCCTTCTGGAAAAGAAGTTCTTTCTCATGTTCAGGAGAAACTTCCTGGACATCAGTTTCTGCACGTTGCCTCTTGTCCTGTTGCTGGGCACTGTAGAGCACAGCCCAGGCCATGCTCTGACCCCTGCCTGCAGATATTTATACACATCAACAAGATTCCCTCTCAGTTTTTCCTTCTGCCATCTTCTGAAGGGCATGAAAACAGAAAAAATTAAAATTAAAAGATCAGATTAAATGTTACCTTTTGCACAATTGTGCCTTTCAGTCTCACAATAGCGGGTGGCCTTACTTAGCTCTGCCTCCCACCCCATGGCACAGCTCAAGGGGCATGAGGACAGGCCCTGCAGTCAGCCACCAGAATGCTTGGCACAGGGTGGTATTTGGACTCACTCAGTCATTGTGGTCCTTTAAAATATGTTAACAATTGGAGTAAACAGTGAAACAAAAATCCTTCAAAGGCTCTGACCACCTCTGATATGGTTGATGGATCTGTGAGGTTCAAAGATGTTTGCCCAGATATGCAACAAGTGTCCATGTGAGATGGACTTCCAGTTCTTGAGTTGACTGTCTGCCATCTCTAGAGTTCCACAAAATAATGTGTAAAATAGTGGTGAAAAACTGGCATTTGTTTCATAACATTTTACTTACTTAAGACTACTTCTCACAAAGAATTCCTTCATTCCATTTTCCCCACTTAGCCAAAAACTTAACTTCCCATCTAATCAATCCTGGGTTTGCATGAAAGCCTTTAGCATGTCTTCCCAGGCTCCTGAATATGACTTCAAATGAATATTGCACATAATCTAAATGTAGTATCACATAGTTTTCAGTTTCCTTCTCCAGCCTTCCAAAAATAGCTTGCAAAAGTTAGCAGATTTATATCTTTCTTTGCCCTAGCTTTGTTGTTCTGAAATTATAGATGAGAGGGGGGAAAAAGAGTCTTTTTAGTAAAATTTCCAGTGTTGTGAGACAAGTTGGGGTGGCAGAATAGTTCTCATGGACAGAGATGATACAAATATTTTAAGAAAAGATCTGCACCCTGATGGTTTTAATTACAAGCTCAGCCACAACAAGTTGGTGTGATTCCACCAAGGAATCACAATCCAAAGGAGAGAAAGCTGGTATCTATGTCAGCTGACAGTGGTTCTTGATCACAAAAAGTGTTAATGGCAATTGATATTTACCACCCATCTCATGGACCATAGTTAGCAAAACACTTAGGAATTTCCAGTGCACTGAGTTTAAGTTTTATGTGCTTTAGACTTAGGAGCATGCTTAGCTACCTTGCTGTCTCAAGGTATCTACCATTTTTAGCTTGATTTCCTTTTACTAAGATTTCTAGTTCTTTGGTTTTAAGACAAGTGGAGAATTAGTGAGAAAATACATCTGAATTGTAATGTCTCCTCAGTATATGCAACGGGTTTCCTGTGGGTCTTGCTGCCATTTTTCAGTGTTTTTTCCTCTTTAAATCTGCATTTAAAAAAAAATCATTTAATGACCCAGTGACTGAAAACTTGAAAGCAGTTTAAAGAAATTATAAGCCTTTGTAATTTTTAATCCCTTAATGGCAATGGATTGAAATGGAAATCAAAAAGCTACAACAATTTGGAGAGAAGATTTATAATCCAAAATGTGCAAATGATGACTGGATCTTGTTTTTGTTGTCTAAGGAGAACAGGACAACATTTGAAGTTGTGTTGAAATACAAATTATGCTTACAACAGAGCGGACCTAATTTTGAATAATTCTATTCCCTTTGATTTTATTTGGACTAATAAATTGTTTGTGTAGATTTATTGCTTATGTTCAAAATGCCAACCAGTGATCTACTCTATTCCTACACCAAGTGTGGAGATGCACATTTTAAACCAAAGTGCTACAACACTTACCATGCAGAATCAATTCTTGAAGACAAATTCACTTTTTATATTCCTACTAGCAATAAATAAACGGTTCCATCCAAGACCTATTTACTATGGAAAGGGTATTTCTTCACCAAAATTGGTGATTACAGCTGTCAAAAATGTCCTTCTAGGTTTCACATGCTAAAGGTTATTATTTTACCGCTCTATCATGCTTACAGTTATCAGTCATTGCTCTTATCAGGAAACAGTGGTCATTAGACAGTTCCATTTATATTAAAACTTCTAATTATTCCTCAATTCACATTAACTCTATCAAGATGGGATCATTAAAAACTTATTCATTTGGTATCTTTAATTTTCAGTGTTACTGTTTTTCTTAATTTTATTCATTAATTTTCTGGTGAAGGGCTGTGATCCACTTCCATATGGATTTCTCTATCTGCCTAGAAGCCTTTTCCCCTAACCTCCACACAAGCATTCCCTGCCTGGGAAAAGAGCTCTGTTCTGCAGAGGCTGAGTGTGAGGCATCTTTACCAGTAAATGAACACAGCTGCTTCCACTGACTGAGAGTCTGCAGGGTACAGCTTTCCCTGAAGATAAATTGCCATCATGGGCCTCATACAATGACCATGCAGAGCGTTTATTGGTGAAGGCAGCAGCTCACTGCAGTTTGGCCTCCAACATAAAGCTATCTTCAAATTCATTAATCTGTCAAATGTATTAGAGCTTAATTTTTCCTGTTTGGTTTCTATTTTTTTAATTGATAAGCTAAGGAATAAGATAGCTCAACTCTGTGATGCAGTGCATGGTTCTAACATATTGAATCTCTCTAGGCTATTAGAACACCTTTTAACATTACAATTGTTTTTTTTAAAAATGATAGAAAGCAAAACTTTAAAAGAAGGACCTCTAGTTCAAGTCTTTCTAAAAATCTTTATCCATCTAGATTACTGAAATATTTATGATTTCATCAGTTGAAACAAATTTAATTTAACTTTATTGCACCCTGTTCTGAAAAGTACACAATACTTTTTTAGCAGAAGTAACAAGTAACAAAAGATAGCACACCAGTGTATGCTTTTGCTCTGCCTAGGTGTAATTATTGACCAAACCACAATACCAAACCATCTATGTACATCGATGCATGGTATTTTTGTTTCCATAAAGTGCTCTCCCTCCCTGATGGCTGCAAAATGTGTTGTACATCTCGAGCTGCTTCCATTCATTACTCTCTCTCTCTTAATTTCCATCTATTCCCACTGCTATTACTTTTCCTCCCTGACAGCTCTTAAATTTTCTCTTTAACTTGGGACCAAGAAGGGCAGAGAGCAACAGATCCATCACTGTTGTTCTTTTATGAGATGCTTGGCCCAGTTACATATAAAGGAAACTCAGCTGCATTTGAATTATTTGTTTCTTTTTCTGGGCCACTGAAAGTCACAATCTTGTATCCCTGTGACCACTTCTGGAAGACTGAGCCTGTCCTAACTCCAGTTTTTTCTCTGCATTGCCATGGCAGTGCTGAGATGCTGCAAGCCCTGAATTCACTGATAAGGGTCCTGAGCCTGGCTGCAAGAGCCACAGCTTGAGCTCACACTGCTGAGACCAAAGGAAAGAGTCAGCCAAGGGCCACTTCCTCTGTTTTATCGCTGCACCAAGGTTCCTCTCCTTCTGAGACAGAGCAAGACAAAAGTATCACCACCATGGAGGCATTTAGACTAACAAGATCCTTCTGGTACCTCATTGCAGACTTTAACTTAAAATATTCACATAGGAAATATTTTGGAACAGAGCACACACTTCATGTCATGGGATGAATGCTGTGGCTCTCCTTGCTAAAGTGTGTCTGGGGCTTAGAATCAAAATAGTAGGCTCTAAAACACATGCTTGTAATAATCTCAGCATTCTGAACTGATGTCAGGAGCTGGAAAAAGAAATTCCATATGATGTAAATTGAATCCTAGCTCAGATCAAAGTAGCATTAAACCTACAGATTTCTGTGGCCAAGTAATCTTCTCCCTCTGTGTCTTTACAGAGTTGTGCACATGGCTAGTGGTTGCCAAACACAGTCCTCAGCACGTCCCATCTTCAATAGGTGTCACCATTTAGTGGAAGGGAATTGTGGAAGTTTAGTGGAAGGGAGAAATGGGCTGCAGTCCAAGGAGCCCATCTGTGTGCTGGTGTTTGCAGTGACACATATACACACATGGCTCATAGTGACATTTTGCAAGCTCAGGATCATGAATTCTGTATGTTGTATGCTTCTGGGTGGATAAATCATCACACCCTGGTCAGAACTGAATCCATCTGTGCCATTTCAACTACGCTTTTTCTAGCCTCCATGGAGAAAAAGTAAAATAAATTGAATTTCAAAGGTTCTCTGTACTTTCATATGATATGAACTAAAGGCTTAATTGCTTTAAATGCTTCCCTTCTGTTAATAGCAGACATTGAGAGTACTTTGAAGGCTCTCTGATGATGCTTGCTGAATATGTGTCTGAAGGGATCATAATAAAATTCTTGTAGGACAGCAGAAGTCTACCTTGAAGGAAGGAAAATCTAAAAAATGCCTGTGAATCTCACGAGGAAAAGCTTATTAATGTCAAACCTTGAACTGCAGCAAATATAAATGCTGATGAAACCCAATTATACTTTAGAAACTGAAACGGAACACAAAGCTCAAGGGGCTGAGGGTAAGATCATCTTGCTTAACAAGTTATATCTACATTTTTCACTGATGAATGAGAAAGACACAGTTCATGTTCCTTTCCATGGTTACAGAAATCCAGAGCAAGCGTCAGGAAAGAAAGAGAAGAAGCACAGCAAATCCAGCCTACAGTGGACTCTTGGAAACAGAGGTACTTTATCATTCACTTTTTTTACCACAGTTCTATTTCATATAATAAGTGTTTCTTACTACAAAAATATATATGAATGCAGAACCACAGATACTTGTAAAAAGATACTGATGTAGAAAAGAAGGAAAATAGCTCAGTGGCTAAAGCAACAGGTTTTCACCCCACAACATCACTTGCTCCAAACTAGAACTCATCTTAGTTTTAATAAAGACCAAAAGGACTAAATTAATGTGGGACCTAATTACTCTTTCATCTACAAAGGCAGTCCCTTTAGACCATATCTGGAGAACAGAAATGCTGCATTAGATTCAAATGTGCATTGCTATTTCTCTTTTCTTATGTGCTAAATAAAAAATGAAGATATTTGGTGTTTTATTAGTGACATTCAGAAAAGGGGTGTGTTGGCTTAAGAATCAATGTGGTCTGCAGGGGGTATAGAAATCTGCATAATAAATATAATAATGCATTATTAAAAATAAAATGCTCTGTATAATCTCCATTGTCTGTTACACTTACACTGTTGCATTTATAGAAGTATCAGAATTTGGTCCTACATAATATTGGATTACAAACTTGGTATAAAAGCAGCACATAAATAGGCTTAACTTTTTCTGATTTCTTTTTCTTTGTTTCTAAACTAACATATATGCATTTATTCAGCTAATTAAAATTTCACTTTTAAAATTTCAGCACACTTTGGGTTTACTGTTTGAACTTGCAACTGAAATGAAACTCAGTTGCAGCCAGCTCTCCATTTTAGCAAGGTTTCTCTGTGTTCTGAGTTCTCTAAGTCTAAAGAAAGTGATTGTTCTTTATTTAGGCATAAGGGATGCAGAATTTCTGGTATGCCAGTATTTCAGATTTCTATCTTTGTTGGCAGAAAGCAAACAGATGAGGCTAAGAAGAAACCCCTGCTGCAGTCAAACTGCCGAGTTGTTTGATTGTACTTTTTTTGATAACACTGGAGATTTTTATACTCCAGAGCAGCTCTGAGCACTTGAGTTCTTCAGAATTCCTCAACTATTTTCTTCAGTGCAAATACTGATGTCCATACGTGCACTATTTAACACTGTAGGAACTTCAGCCTTGTTAGCATTAAATCTCCTTAGACGTTTTGGTCCTGATTATTAAAATACTTGCAGCAGAGTATTGTGGTTGTAGCCAGCCAGATTGGTGTTTGTGACAAACTCTTTGGAGCAGAGGTGGAAGAGAAGATGGCCTAGGTCTGCTGCACCCCTAGTTCATACTTCTCATTATATCTATTCTCAAAAGCATACACAGAAATGAAGGATGGCATGGGGAAAGAAATGTCTGTGAAAGACTCCTGTGGCTGATCAGCTGTGTGCTCATTAGGAGCTGTCATTAAGTACTGACCATGGGGAATGTCATTCAAGTAAAATGGAGGCAGATGGTTTTTCTCTGATCAATTAGCTGCTCAGACTGGTTTGCTAATCAGTGAGTTGAGGTATTTGTGGCATTTCAGGCATTTTGGTGCAGTTTAGTCTTCTGAATGATCTTTAATGAATGATGGTTTAAATTGAAATTGCATATAAATTAAACCTTTTATTTGGCAACACCCCTCAAATTGGCAGGAGCTCAGCATTTGTACTGGTGATACTAACTTTGATTGCAAAAACGTGATCATGGTCTTATGTCTTCACTTGAATGGTGTGCCTTTTCTTTTCAAAATTTTGTTCTTAAAAAAATGAGATACCATTTTATTTTCCTACCCTCAGTCTTTTTTTTTCATAGGAAAGGGTTAAGTTTTGGGGTGGTTATTTTTTTAAGAAACATCTATTCAAAATTCATTAACAGACTGGCAGGCACCCATCTATAAGATAACAATTTGTTCACCACAGAATAAATAATTTAGTAGCAAACCCCCTCTAATTTTCTTCCAAGCACAATCTAACAATATCTAATGGAGGGAAATGGTGTTGTTTCCATTCCTGCTGTACAAGTTTGTTTTTGGATGGCTCAGAGGAAAAAGTTGGGGTTGTCTAGACTATGAATGAAGCCTGGCTTGCTATTGACCACAGCTTGTGCTGTCAGACAAGGCTGGCCATGGGCTGCATTTACAGGAGTTAAACATCTCAGACAGGTTTGTGCTGCTCTCTGTTTGTAAGTTTGGTGATCTCAGCAGATTGAAATCACTGCCAGCTCCTCAAGGTCCTGCACATTCACTTCTGAAAGGGAAATATTTTGCTAAAGCCTTCACTTGTTGCTTTCAAATGCAGTAAGTTGCTCTGAACTGTATGAAGGTGTCACAAAGACAGCAGTGCTTTTCCTGCAGGTGAGAAATCCATGACCATTTCTATATAAGCAAATAAAGATGTCACTTCACAGCAACGATTTTCCCTTATAGATGTTGTTGAGCTTGGAATTAGTTCTGCTGTAGTCTTGCTCTTACCAGCCCATGCAACATATCCTGCAACCCCATCAATAACATTTACAATTTGTATTTCTCTCTTCGTAATAAAATTTAATGCACAATAAACTGCTGTATGAAAAACTTGTTAGAAAGGTAAACCATGCACATGTTTGTCTGACTGTGTCAGTGGTCAGTCTAAGTAGCTTTTGGAGAGCTGGTTAGGTATGAGGTAAGCCCATGAAGATTGATAATCTGAAATGTAAGAGACAACCAGAGCACTTTGCAATGACACGGGGGTTGGTTTCTTTTCCCTTCTAGCGGAAACGCCTTGCATCGAATTATTTGAATAACCCCTTGTTCCTTTCAACGAGAGGTAAGCATATTTTTAAATGAATATACTACTATTCTAATGATATGTCAAAAATTTATTAGTAGGCATATGAGTTACTGTTAGGATGCCATAGGGCATTACTTTGTGTAATGCCCCTGTATTTTTTAATATGGAGTGAAAATAGTTTGTTTTCCTGCAAAAACAATGGAAGACTAAGGCTAAAGGTCACAATTGTATACAAATGGATCCAAAGCCTCTGCAATCAGTGGAAAATCTGATCTCTGGCACTTTAAGCACCATGCAGTGAGAGAACTGATTGAAGAAAGTAGTGTTGCCAACCCCAAGTGCTTAAAAATATGTATTGAAAAACAATTACTATTTTAGGCTTTTCATTTCCCCCTTTCCACCAGTTTTAAGAAACTGCTCTCCATCTTCAAGCACTAGAAATTTCCCACAACTTTTGATTCAATAACAAAGGCTGAAAACCACTTTATCTGATTCCAAGAGATAGAGCCATAAATCTAGATGTGATGACCTTGAAGATGCCTTCCAGTCTTGTATTTATAAGAACTTCAAATCTGAAACTTAACAGTAAATGCCTTGAGAGTTAACAGCTCAGAGGAGCCATTTGGGGATGCTGATGATTAACTCATGGGAAGGAGTGCATTTCAGGAAAAAATGTACAACACAGGGAAGACAAATAGTTGGAACATGTGAGATGAAACACAGAGAATGTTGAGTACAGTTTAATTCTTCAGACAAGACCTATGTAGTTTTTTAAGGAAGAAAGTGAGAAGCTTGTATTTCAGAAGAGGAGACAAAGCCAGTAAAGAAATTTGATTCTGTCCTTGCCCTTGTTTTGCCTTTATAACTTATTCTTTATTGAGATGCATTAGAGGTGAGGGAAGAGAGACCTTTTTCTAAGTTAAATATTATTTCAGTATTAGGAGCATTTGCAGCGGTAATTATAATTGAGACATGAAGTTTTGACAGTTTTTCAGTGTTTGCTTGATCTCCCTGTCAAGTGTCATGTTTAGCACTTGAGATTCACCTTTTTGCCTCTGCCTTGACTTCTTGCACCACAGGAGCACTGACTGAAAGGCACCAGTGCTTCTCTCTGCCTTCAAAACTTCATATGCCAGATACAGACACTTGGCCTACTTACCATATTCCTGTAATGTGTTTGGTCTCAGAGGACAGGAGAGGTTATTACAGCTATGATGACCTGCCTCTTAGCAGGCTCATGTGAGCCCCACTAGAAAGAATATTATTCCTGGCTTAGTTTTATCTTCAAAATTAAAATTGCAATTTATTGTTTGTGTTATTATAGCACTCGTTTTTTCCATGTAAACACATATGAGAAATCAGGACAGAATGGCATTGTTAGCAAGTTGTGCTGCCAGCCCCTTGGTGGGTTTAAGTTAGGGTTTGATATCTCTGACCTTACTTTCATTACATGTTTCTCATTTTATTTGCAAGCAAGGAGGCAAGTGATAGAGATCTACTGATGCAGCTGTCCTGGAGCTTCCTGAAAATCAGCAACCTCTCTCCTTAATCATTAATTCCTCTGAGTCCTGTGTCTTTGGTTTTTCCAGAATCCAGAATATGTGCTGGAGTTCTGCATATTCTGAGAATGTTGAGATGGACTTCATTATAGCAGAATTCCCCACCTCTGCAAGGATTCTTTTGACACCAGCACTGTTTTGCTGCATGCCATGCAAGCGCTGAACAGAAGGCAGGTGCTGTCCCAGATTGCTTGGCTCTGCAGTGATGCAGCTCTCCAGCTTCAGTGCAGAGATGGCTGCCCCTTCTCTTAAAAAATGCTCCTTTAAAAATATTGTCCTCAGTTTAATTTTTCAGCAACTAGAAGAGGGAAGTGGACATGTTTTAAGACATTTAAAACTTTGTAGCAAAAGTGAGCTGAAAAGACAAATAAATGAACTAGAAAAAGCCCCCATGATGTCCAGGAAACAACTGTCATTTCTGGAAATATAGAAGAGGACAATTCTTGTAAATTTTGATCAAAATGTTAATTAATCAGGATTCATTTATATGAAAATGTCTTATCTGAAATGAGGTCACATCCCCTGACATGTATCATTTGTACAAACGATTCAATTATCAAACCTCTGTTTATCTGACTAACATTTATATCCCCTGAGTAATCATGGTGTCATCCAGTGGTGGATCTTTGTGTGTGTATTTTTGGATATGAAGTAACATCTACACATTTTATAAGTCTGTGATTACAGGATTCATTGCCAAAGTGTACTATGATTGCTAGGGAAAAGTAGAGAAATTTATAAAATACAAAATATAGAATAAAATAAAAAATATAAAATATAGAATACAGTCTATCAGAGGCTGTTAAATATAAAAATGAAGATGCAAGCTCAGGGTTAGGGAAGCCCATAAACTGCCATCATCGGAAGGATGCTTCTGGATTTACTCAGTGATTGCCCTGTTCTTGCACTCTGTGCAGGAGTGGCAGCACTGTGTGCTGTCAGCAAAAGACATGTGGATTTACAGCCTGTGGTCCAAGTTAGGTGAAACTGTTTCTTTATTCTCGAGTTCCTCTTCCTACACGTGTGTGGGCCTGCTCATGTGTACATCTTCACGTGTATGCACACATCAGTGTGTAAAACCAGTGTGTAATGGTGGGAGGGGACTTCCAGGTGGGTCTGATATGAGGAATCACAGTGGGACAGCTATATTTCCACTCTCATCAGAGAGGGAGCTGAAGGAGGCCAGAAGAGAAGTATCAGTTTGGTTGTCTCCACTTAAACCCAAAGAAAGGCCTGTCCATTAAGTGTTTTTCACTGGGACAGTGTGCTCCATCCCCTTGCAAGAACCCAAGCAAATGGCTGGACCTGTGCCAGGGGCATATTAGGCTGGATATAAGGAAAAGGTTCTTCCTCCAGAGAGTGGTGGAGCGCTGAACAGATTCCCCAGGGACTGGTCACAGCCCCAAGGCTGCCAGAGCTCCAGAAGACTTTGGACAACATTCTCAGGCATGGGGTGGGATTGTTGGGGTGTCTGTGAAGGGTCAGTAGCTGGACACAATGATCCTGATGGGTCCCTTCTTAGCTTAGGATATCCTGTGATTCTGTGAAATCAGCAGCAAGAATTGCAACACTGTGCAGTTTCCATAAAGCTCTTAATTTTTTTTTTGCTTTTTATTTTTGGACCAAAGTGTGTTTAATTCCACAATTTATTTTTTAAATTTTTTTTATGGAAAGCTTGGCCTGCTTTCCAGTGAGCTCTATTTGTTCTTGTTCATATCAGGTTGTGAATACAATCATTACAGACTCAGTTCATCCAAAGGTCACTGGTGTTTGATGAGGAATTGATGACACCATCAGGCTCACTCCCACAGGAGCTGACCATTTTGTCCAGGAATCAGCTCAACATTTAAATCTGTGCTCAATGATTAGCTGGAGACACCATTGCTGGTTCAGGGCCAGCCATTTCAACACCCAGCAGGCTGAGGTCCTTCAGGAAGACTTTTTGACTACTGGTGCATAGAGAGGAGCTCTGCATGAAAATTCCTGAAAATTTCAAATACTATGACCTTTTAGCATCAGACCTTTGGACATGGGATTCCTGCAATGTACATTTTTAAATCTGAAATGCTAATTCCACTGCTTGCTGCCTGCATTCATCTTGGCAATGTCCTGATCTCTTATACCACATTTTGATTAAAATTACTCCCAAAGATGAGAACTAGCAACTGCTGCAGCAATGTAGTTTCCACTAATCTGTTTTCTGCCCTTCTTTTATATGCTAGCAAATGAGGATTCATTCTGGAAGGTATGTGTGGCAAAGTTTGTGTATTAGCAGGTATCTTTCTCATCACTGTGTATTCAGTGCTTGCTTCTGATTACTGTAGGCACTCTCAAGGTACCTATTTGCAGTATTCTCTTTTCCCACTTAACTAAATCTTTGAGTCCCTAAGCTAGAATTTCAAAGAGATGAACTCTTTCACATGCAAGGCTTGAGTTTAGTCCCTTTGTTGATTCCACTGATTGAGAAATTGCTAGTCCAGATTTATGAGTTTAATGAAAATTTTATAAGAAAAATGAGTAACCATTCTAGTTTGTAAAGATTATATCTCTTTGCATTGCAGTTAAAATTCAGATTCTTTGAGCAGGTAGATTATAAAGAATAATATTTTGGAGAGTGATTTTTGACAGGACTGGTTTAGAATTCAAGATACAAGCCTGACTAAAACTGACATAAAACTTTGAAATTAATTTTCCTAAAAATGAAAACATGCTTTTGGAATTAAAAAAATTATATCATTACTATTCTACTTCCTGGAAAGCCAGTAGGAAATTTCTGATTTTTTTGTAATGATTCACAAGGCATGAGAGTTTCAAAATCAGTGTCTCCTTTATTGAAAAGAGTAATTAATGTTGCCATCAGATTAGCATAGCAATCTACTAGATGACACTGTAACTTTGTTGATGAGTCTTAGTTCATGTTATGTATTGCTTCAGACAAAGCACTAATCAGTCTTGCTGGAGAAAGGTTGTCAGAGCAAGTCTGAACAGAGAACAATTACTGCCAGAGAGAAAGAGGCCAGAGGAGTTCACAAAAGAGGGTATATAGCCCAAGGCTGTGCTCCAGCCTCCTGTTTCCACAGCTGCCCTTTGAAGCAATGCATGAAAAATGGAACATGTGCTTCCCCAGAAGCCTTTTCTTGCTTGCTTCCTTCTGTTTTGGGTATGAAGGACAAGTGATCCCCACATTAACTATGATCCAGGACAGAGCCGTGCGTGGGGATACATGTGTTGTAGTAACATACTGGCAAAGAAAAAAGTGAAATAATTCCTATGTCACAATCTAGCTATATTAGTCTCCTCTCTCCTGTGTTTGATTAGTTGGGGTTTATGTTTCTGTTTCAATTTATAGAACTTGCTTCTGGCTCATTTGTTGTTTGTATTTGTTGCTATCATATATCTATTATTTCTGTCTTCTGTGTCTGTCAGGGTCCTTTTGACAATTAGATTTCGTGTTTGAAGGAGCCTGTCTGCTGCAGTAGAGGCTTTGAATGCTGTATAGAGAGAAGTTCTCAATGGATTGACTTTACCCAGGGCACCCTTCTCTTGCAGAACGAGATCCATCATGATGAGCACTGCACTGCTTGCAAGCGTGGAGTTAACTTGCAGCCCTGTGGCACATGTCCCAGAGCATATCATCTCAACTGCTTGGACCCACCCCTCAAAACCACCCCCAAAGGGCTCTGGGTCTGCCCAAAGTGCCAACAGAAGGTAAGCTACATGAAGCATGGTATACCAAGAAGGGAAAATGGGAGACACCTCAAATTTGTGTACAAATCTAACCTATGGTCGTAGCTCAGTGAACTACAAAAGAAGTCCCTTCTAGACAAAGAAGCACAGAGAGGCTTTTAGTGGAGTTTTCAGTACTTATTTCTGGTATTTTTCACCATCCTAGAGTTACTACATACATGGAGTGCTGTAGCTTGCCTGGAATTGCTAAGAATTGTCCTCTTAAAATGTCTCTTCAGTTTCTTCAGCTCCTTTCTTTACAGTAACACCACCAGCATGTAGCTAAAGAATGTAAATCTTAGAGATGAAGGAGGCAGTGTCAGAAGACACTGTTCACCAGTGGATCTGAAAGGTGTGAGGAGAAACCTTCCTTTTCTTTAAATCACATTTGTTACACACAGCTGTTCATCACGGTTATGTGAGATAGGCTAAACTGTCTAGTTGCTGTGGACAATGCTGACTGCAAAAGTTAGAAGAAAATTACTAAAACACTAAAGTGTCACTAAAGTGTAGATTCTGTGTCATAGAGTTCCTTGTGCTTAGCCTTGAGATCACTTTTATGTTCTGCAACAAGGACCCAAGTTCTGGTCCTGCCAAACTGTAAGGCTGGAGCAAACATTGATATGTATTTTTTGGAATCCTAACCGTTTATTATTTCCTGGGCTTATAGGTGTTAAAGAAAGATGACAATGTGCCATGGACTGGAACTCTGGCTATTGTTCACTCCTATGTTACTCATAAAACAGGTAGGGATTAACTCAGCCACTTAGACGGGATTCCCTGCTCATGATAGGCAACACCATTTGAGTCCTTAGCTGAAATATTGAAGTAGTGTTATGATGCTTCCAGGTCTGATGGTGTAGGTCATAGGGCCACAAGTGACTAGAGAGACCAGACTTTTTCTCCCCCTTTCCCTTTGGTCTCCCCCTTTGCCATCTTCTCTCTGTAAGGAAGATGAGAGTGATCTCTCAGGAACTTCACTCTCTAGAGGAAGTCATCATCACAATGTTGTCTTCCCTGGAACAGGGCTGAAAGAGGATTTTGAGGCAGAATTATTATGAGGCAGAGTCAGGCTAAGCAGAGCCATGTAATTGGGTGTGTAGCACAATGCCAGACTAGTGTCCCAGACACCACAGCAATACCAACTTCTATTTGTTTGTCCATTGGTGTTACGTAGTATGGCAGCCACTTGAGTCATATGCTGTGTGACAGCTGTGCATTGAGCATTATTCTTTTTTAATTCCCATTTGCACTCTTACATGAGGCTGTTTGGGGCATTAGATCATATTTGTAAGGACCTTTATGGAGGTCTGGCACAGTTACAATTGTGCTTTTCTGCCGGGGTCACTATTGCAGCTACAAGGGGCTGGCCTCTTCCTAAATACTATTCACCTCTTTCTTGGAGACCTCCAGGATCACATGTGGTCTAAGCATGTGTTTACATTCACCTTAACGGTACACTGTACCTTTTGGGTTGTCCTCCTGTATGCTAACCATTTACATAGACACATGCATAGAATCCCAGAACTGTTCAGGTTGGAAAAGACCACAACAAGGTCATTGAGTCCAACCTGTAGCTGATCCCACCTTGTCAACCAACCCAGAGCACTGAGTGCCATGTCCAGTTGTTCCATGGATGCCTCCAGGGATGAGGGCTCCACCACCTCCCTAGGCAGTCCCTTCCAATGCCCAACCACCCTTTTAGTGAAGAAATGCCTGCAAGCAGAAACTCCAGTTTCTTTGGCTGTACCCACTGACAAAAGGCTAATGAGACCTTTAACTCAGCATGCAAAACACCTGCTTCTGCTTTCTGTCCTCAAGTGCACAGTACATCCTTTTCTTAACCTCTGCATCCTTAACCTTATTGTTCCACAGTCAAAGAAGAAGAGAAGCAAAAGTTATTAAAGAGAAGCAGTGAGCTGAAGAGTGAGCATAGACAGTTAGAAGAAAAAGATCGAGTTCTCAACAATGCAGTGAAGGTAGGACACCTGATGGGGACAAAGAGTCTCCTGAGTTTATAATGAATTTAAGCAAAAAAAATAAGGTATTTTGTGGCTAGAAAATGATTCAAGCTCCCAAGCAATAGATTTTCAAGTGTGAAAGTGTTTCTCTCTGAAGAAGTACATGTGCATTTTCTTTACACACAAAAGCAAGTCACTCTGGCAGGCTGAAGAGGAGAAATCACTTGAATTCCTGTGGCAAAACACATACAAACAAAACTCCACAAACAGCCATGGCTGCCTTCCTTGTAGTTGCATCCATAGTTCTGACCTACCCAATAACTTCAAGGCACTTCCATCCTCTAGGTGAAAAGTTTAGTCACAAGCGTGTCCTTCAGTGGTAGCTGCTTGTCCATTTGCTCAAACCTCTTGATATCAAGTAGAAATAACCATCTTTACTGGATGTTGTAGCATCTCTCCATGACTGGACATGGACTATTTTGTCTTTCCAAACTCATTTCAAAGCTAAACGGTATCTGGAGGTGTCTTCCACACATATTGTGCTATGAGGATCAGTCTCTGGCTGAATGGGCTTAATTCAAAGCCTAATTCCTACTCTTCATGGCTGAAGGAACCCTCTGGGGCTATCTCTGTCCTGAGAGGTAGCTGTTAATTTGCATGGCTGCCTCAATAAATATTCAACACTTCCTTACCCTGGAAAAATCGAAGTGGCAGCTGCAGGAGTAACTGGTCACTGCTTGTTTCACCATTGCAGTTATCCAGAGGAGGCATGTTAAAATAGTTGTCACGTAAAACAGAGTGGAAGGAAAAGCAATAACTTATTAAAAGACATCACTGTATATTCCCTGTACATGTGTATAGCACTAATGGAGCCACACGTGTATGTAGTAGGTAGGAGAGTGCAGTGGGCTGAGGAATTTGGAAAAAGAAAATCTGTCAGCTATTAGGTGTGTGTCATGGCTGTCAAAATCAGTAAGATTTCTACCTAAGCAGAATCAGGTTCTTTCAGTGGGCAGCACTTTCTTATTTAAATGGTAATGTCAGCCAATGATTATATTTATTGGAAATGTATCCACTTGAAAGGAGAAAATAAATTAAAGGTGTGTCAGCACAGAGCAATTTCATTCTGACATTTTAAGAGATATTTATATGAAAAAGAACACTCTCATACACCCCACAGCTGCAATGGTAAAAACAGAACATAATTTATCTTTCATCTGAAATTTCATCTCTCTAAACCAACATTTGAGCAGTTCAACACAGTTGCTTTCCAAACAAGTTGATTTTCAGGTGAGCATTCCCCAGTTCCCCAGGACTGGAAAATACCCATCCCTGGACAGTCTGGACCATAGCCAAAGAGGAGGAATCTGCAGACAAGTAATCAGTTTGGTCAGAATCCTGGGCATTGTGGGAGAAGGAAAACAGGTTTCAGGTATTAGAGACCACTGTTCCCTTTCATCTTGCAGACAGATTCAGGATGTGGGTCTGTCCCTCACAGAAGAATGGGGTGGATGCAGCAGCCCGTGGTTGGGGAGGGGAAGGAGAATTACTGATTCTTCCTATCTCTTCTTGGAGAAATGGAGGGTTTGGGATGCCTTTGTTTAGCTCCTACTCTCGTGCCCATTTGCATGGAGGTTTTTATTTTAAGCGATCACAGGGTGCAGTTTGGCCACCCTGAGGGATGAAAGCTTACTTGTGAGTGCCCTGGTGTAACAGTTGTGTCTTGGAGAAAGGTTTTCTACCAGAAAAATATTGATATCATGTTCAGTGAGATCAATGTATCTTCACAGCCTATTCCCTGAAATGTGTGGCAAGTATGAAATGCATCCTGGTGAGGGTCACCCACCAAGCATTTATCAGGGTCCTTTGGTAACAGTTAGAGACCTGAGTGGTGCCTTCTATATTTTCACTAACACAGCTATTGCACTGCCATGCCAGGCATCTCTGTGGAGTGCAGAAGGTGTTCCTGCCAGGCTGTCTACAGGATGGAGTCAGAAACATCCTCCAAATGCATTTTGCCTGGGAAGAATATTGTTCCCTCAGACAGCTGCTGCAATATGTGCAGCACTGCTGATTACTCCATTTGTTAAACTGTGGTTTTTCTTTCCCCAAAGGAGAACATACTTCATTTGAGCAGAATGCACACCCAAGGCACCAAAGGGTGTTTGGAGAGATGTTTGACACCACTTTGAATGTATTCTCAGTCTTTCCTTCTCTCTCCCCTTCTCTTTATTTGACAGAAATGCTTAGAGCTAAAAACCAGCCTGATGGCCCAGCAGAAAGGGACTCAGTCATCACTGGAACGTCTCAAAAGCCTCATTAGACTGATACAAAATGAGCAGATGATTCAGGTTACCATGACGACCACCACCACCACCTCCCTGCTGTCCATCCCCTGGATCAAACCCTCTGCTGCCTCTGCTGCCATGCACAAAGCCTTGCAGCCATCACAGGGTAACAACTGACAAGAGTCAGCAATGAGAAACTTTATGCATGTGAGCAGAGGAGAGATGAAACTGGAACAAAGGACAGAAGGAGCAATCTCAGTTTTGATACACTTAGAGACTTACAGACCAGTCAGCCCAGTTTGTAGGTCACTGTGGCAGCAGGTTCCCACAGAGCGGGTTGTGCTGCAGTTTTGTATTTGCCAAGACCTTCAGTGCTTATGACATTTTGTTTTGTTATGTTTGCCTTAATGTATTTATGACTGAGGATGAACAGGAAAAGCATGGCTGATAGGAAGCAGGATAGCCTTTTTTGGTGGCAGACAGGCTTTCTGTTCTAAGGGAAGAGGAGATAGTGAGGTATTAGAGAAGTAGTTGGGCTGAAAGCTAGGTGTGTGTGGGGGAATCGGTGAGATAACCAGAAGCTGAGCTACTTAGCACTTGACATGGATTGTTTTCATGGAAGAGGAACAAGTTTGGCCCCATTGATTCAAGTGACCTGGAGATGGGGTCGCTGTGACCAGAACAGCATCACGGACACTCACAGAGCCTTGGAAACAAAAGATCTTTTTTTCCCATATTATTAGACTTGAGAATTGCAGATATTTAAATAAAGAAACTGTATGAAGTTAGCATTTCTAGTAAAATATTGAAGTATTTTCATGCTGATGCTTCTGTATATGCGTTCTGAAATGTTTAAAAAAATACGACTGTAAAACTCCTTTTGCAGGTCCTTTTTACTTATTTTGCTATCAGTGTATTTTTCTCATGGAGTTTTTGTGCAAGATTTAGCATCAACCATAACAGTGGATATCTTTGACAGTTTGGGTTTCATTTTTTAAAGAGATTATTTTGTGGATTTCTGTCTTTTTGTTCATTTTGGATTCTTTTTTAAAGAAAAAGCAAATAAATATTCTGGCTTTTGTTTCTTGTCAGTACAGATAATATGCCAAAAAGAAAACTTTACCTTTTTGTACTGCATTTTTATTGTTAAAGATATGTAACAAGATTTTTTTTGTGTTTTGGTTTGGTTTGTTTTGGTTGTTTTGTTTTTTGGGTTTTTTCTTTGTTTGGGGTTTTTTGTTTGTTTGTTTGGGGGTTTTTTTGTAGAAATATCTGCTGAAATGGTACAGGAGAAAAAAAACTGCCTCAAGGGGTTGTTTCTCAAACTGGAGACTTGAACTCAAGACTTCTGGGGGAGGGACAGGGCATGGAAAATCAAAAGGGTTTGGGAGGATTATGTTTTTGGAAACTTGATTCCTTTTTAACATTTTGTTGGATTCTAGCATATTTGGGAAGTGTTTAGCATTAGCCTGAGAAAATCCCAGTGCACCTGCTTGTTTTACTAACTGGTCTTCCTGATTCTTCATGGTCCTGCCTGGTCCCCAGGGCCTCGTCTCCTGCAGCTGCCTGGGAAGGTGGTGATGGACACCCCGGTTTTCTCAACTCACACTTCCCAGTGCCATTGTCTCTGTCCTTACAAGTTCTCCATCAGTTAGCAAAACAGGTACTTATGGAAAGCCACCAGAGCAGGACACAAGGCTAGTCTCTCACATCAGCATATCACTTGGTGCCGAATAGCCTTTTTTGTTTTTAATTTTTAAAAAAAAACACTTGAGGGACTGGCTTTTTCTGTTGCCCATCACTAGGCAGCACATGGTCCCTTCAACCATTTTCACAACTCCGGGAGAAACTGTGCAGTACTATACAAATCTATTTTAATACACAACACTCGATTGAACAAGATTTTTATATTCTTTTATTGATGAACAAAGTGAACTAAGTAAAACACAGTTATTATACATCGGTTAATGTATGCATTTATGCATTCTGAATGGCTTGCAATGTAGATGTTTTCAGGTTTCATGATTTTTTTTTTCCTTCTCAGACAAATAAAAAAAAAGGAAAAGTGTGGAAGGTTTAATATGTGAAGAATTTCTGAAGAACTGTCTTCAACTGTTAAAAGTAGTTATTTTGAAAAGGGGGCTGTCCAGTGGATAGTGTGAATAGGAAAAAAAAAGTGTTTGTCTTAAATATGCCAATGTAGTTTTACTTCTTTATGATGCATTAAACTTGACTGACAATTTCCTGGCATTGTTGTGGTGGTCTCTGCTGACAAGGGTCACAGCATGGCCTGCTCAGGGCTTGTTGAGGGACCCCTCCCTGGCCAGACTCCCTCTGTGGTGGGGGAAGAGACTGGTGCTGACTTCTCCACCGTGTTCCATTCTCAAACTTAAGTGCTGCAAGAATGAATGCAATACTTTCTGCATGCTTTCTATCAGGAAGGTGGCCTCTTCCTTGAGGCCACTCTGTCTCCCCCAGGCAGAGGCACCCTGTCCTGTCCCTTGCTTAGCTTCCCGCCTCTTGGAATAATTGCCAATCTGCCAGACCCCTGGGTTTTGCTTTCATATCTGCAATCTCAGGTGCTCCTCAAATGTGTGGTGGTGACCCTTTCTGTAAAGGAATTTATAAATCACTTATAACTGTAGCAAAGAAACGGGGAGAGTGGGCCCTCACAGGGGTTGGCTGGTTTCTGGCTGGTGGAAGGGATGGAACTTCTTCCCAATAAAATTAATCAAATGAAAGCAAAATACTTGTCACAGCTGCACAAAGCATGCCGCAGTGGCTAGCGCTTATGCTGAGAAGAAACAGGGTTGGGGTTTTCTTGTCAGGGGTAAGGGAAAGGGTATTTTTTTGTCTGGGAGTGTGTTGCCTTGTCTTCACCTCCTGGCAATATTACTGCTCAATTTCAGGCTGCAATAGGCAAGGGAACTCGGCACTGCACTCCTGCTTCCCCTACAGCCCAGCTGCCCCCTTCTCCCTCCCAGCCCCTGCTACACGGATGGCAGGTTGATTTTTCCTAACATTGCTTCCAGTATTAGAAGACACCTCTCCCCCATGCCAAAAAACTCCCCAAATCATATGTTGTTGTCATCATCATCATCATCTGTCTGCCACCACCCTAACCTTTAAATTCAATGCTGTGCTAACAGACAGGAGCCATTTACAGAGCTCTGAATGCTGCCTTAATAATTAATGCAGTTGCAAGAGAGTGCAGCCTTTAATCTTTGATAGTGTTTTAAACTGAGTTTTGGTGGAGATTTGCAGGAGTTTTGCAATAGCCTCCATGTTCCTTGCTGTGCTACAGGCATTGTCTTTGAAAAGAATCAGGAGCTGCAGGGTTCTCAGCCTCCCCTCCCAAATAAAAGTTATTTTTACAGCTATGCCAGACTTCACAGCTTCAGGACTCTTTACTTCATCATGAAAAACTGTTTTCTGTGCACAGGACTTTTTCATAAGTTATCTTGCAGAGGATCTGCTCTGTAAATAGCCATTTGAATCAAGTGTGTTGTCTCCAAGCTTGCCAGCTTTGTATATGAACCTCTCCAAATATAATTTCACCTATTCTTCCTACTCACAGTCTCTTGTCCCTCAGAAATGAGAGGAAAAGGAACACTTCTCTCTGTTGGGAAGTAACACAGAGCAATGCCAGAATGAGCAATTTTTGTGTCAAGATCTCAGATGTTTCGAGGTTTCATACTCCTTAGAGGGAGAAGCCACTAGGACCTAGATGCTCAGCAGTCAGGAAGCTAAGTCAAGACCTCTCTATTTTTTTTTTTAGTATTTATAATAGTTTACAATCACAGCAGCAATTTTTGCAAGATGCTGCAAGATGATTTCACCATAATGTCAGCCCAGCAAGTGGCTTCTCTCATGGCAGACTTCTGTGTAAGGATAGCAACATTAACTACAGCAGCTATATCAGGAGTTTATTCCACACGCCAAGCAGTCTTCTAGTAGTTTGATGGCCTATTAGGATCACTTCAGCTTTAAGAAGAATGCATTATAAACTGATCTGTACTTTTTGTTTTGTGTTCTGCATGTCATCTGTAGTTTGAAAGAAAGTAATTACGCGGAAATGAGTGGCAATAGCCACATCAGATAAAACTCTACTCACTTTAATCAGGTTTTTCCAACTGCAGCCTATTTTGCTTAGAAAATGAAGCCTGGCTTCTGAGATCAGTAACTAGCAACTGACTGATGCAAATGGAAGATGCCAGACTCCCCTGCTATAAGCTACTTTTAAGTTCACTATGGTGAAGATCATTAAAGCAAGAGTTGGGATTTTCTCCCTCCCTTAAAAAAGCAAACAAAACCTAAGTTGTCATGGCAGGGAAAAATACTACAAAGTGTACACAAACTTGCTATAATACATTCTAGCCAGGGAGAAGGAAAAACAAAAAAAAAATAAAAAATGCCACTGCCCTTTGAAGTTCTTGTTTGCATTTGCACTGGCAAATTGCAGACAATACTTCGCTATTTAAATGCAGCAGAAATACTGCACTTCAACCTTTGATTGAGCAGTTACCACAGAAATTTTAATTCACTTTTGCATTTCATCTTTGGGCTTAAAATGCTGCAATAAATCACCTCTCCCCTCAGTATTCATGCTAGAAACACAGCCTCTGAAGTACCAAAAGAGTTGGGAGATATTTTACCATCTCTCCCCAACATGAGGGTCCTGCTGCTAATGTGCTCCATGTTGTTGAAATCCCAGGGTTGTGGTTTAAGCTGTAGCTGCTGAAAAATGATGCATCCTTCACCCTGATGGGCTTTTGCATCCCTTCACACAAGACCTTCTCAACTGTGATCTGCATCTTGCGGCCACTCCTGCTTTGCTTGGCCATGAAAATATTGTCTTAGCTAAAACTCCAAGGAGAATTAAGGAGTGATGTTAGAAATAAATTCACAAAGAACTGAATTGAGAAAAATGAAATTCTGGTGTAGATACTATATAACAGTTTAAAGTGCACTTGCATAACTAAGGAATTTTCTAGTGGTTTGAAACTACAGCAGAGAAAATATATGTGCTGAGCCACTGACTATGTGTTTCATTCTTACCTTCCTCCATTACGTCACAACTGAAAAAAATAAACCAAAAAAATAAACCAAGTCCCAAATCTCACCCACACAGATGGGTGTCACTTCATCTGGGGGTTCAGGCATCTGACCTTGCTGAG